GCCGTACTTTTCGAAGGCCTTTTTCACGTTGGTGGCGTCAAGGGCCGACGTCTCGATGAAGGACAGGTTGTTGGCCTTGGAGTAGGCCACGGCCTCGTCTGGATATAGAAAACCAAATGGCCGATGGGTGAAAATAGGCCTCCAATTAGGGGGGGGGGTGGATGAAGGCGCGCGGCGGGCAAGGCGGTGCACGCACCCTTGGTGACCTGCCGCCTGAAATCGAGGTCGAGTTTGTTCCCCACCAGCCTGATTGGTGCGTTCCAACAATGCGACACACACGACACACGACACACGACACACGACACACGACACACGACACACGACACACACTTACAGGTGAGGTTGGTTGTCTGTGGGCAGTGGTGGTTGTAGGCCACACGCACATGACGATGACGTGGGTCGGCGCGTGCTCCTTCACTTCATTGAGCCATCTGCGATCGCAGCACCACCACCACCACCAGCCACCACCACCACCACCACCAGCCACCACCACCACCACCACCACCACCACCACCACCACCACCCCATATTGGGGAAACACGTCAGCGGCTCTGCCTTGGAGGGGAAGGGGAAGGGGGGGGGGTATAGGCCGTACTTGTCGAGATTCTTGAACGTCTCGGCATTGGTGATGTCGTAGACCATGAGAGCACCTGCACACCACGCCGCCCCAATCAGCCGTGCATATAATATAATATAATATAATAATATATTATAGAAAAGAATGCATCATCTCAGGTCCATCGGCTCTGCCACCGGTCCGGCAGTGTGCCGCAGAGAAAGAACGGAGGGAGGAGAGGCGAACCCACGGCGCCCCGGTAGTACGTGGACGTGATGGCGCGGTATCGCTCCTGCCCCGCTGATCACGTGACACGCGCGACACACATGTTCGTGAGCGAGATGGGAGGCGGGCGAGAAAAAGTCGCCAGCAGCACCAGTGCGCCAGCACAATTTGTAACAATACTCCTACTCCTACTCCTACTCCTACTAACACCACTACTACTACTACTACTAATTAGCGAGAGGAGGAGGACGCGGTACCTGTGTCCCTATACGGCACCGGGACCAGGCGAAAGCGAAAACGGAGGCGAACGTTCGCGCGCGAGCGTGGGTGGAAA